TGCAATATCACCATAATCGGTGGTATAGGCGGCTGGCAGGCTAGGCGGCCGACTAGGCCGCCTAAGTGCCACCTTGACCGCCTAGGCGCCGACAAAACCGCCTAATCGGCCAATTAGCTATTGTTTCATTCTTTTTTAAATAAGTTATTTCACTCAAAACAACATCGTTTTGAGCGAAATAACCCTAAATTGTTCAAACTCTATATTTTTTTTTAAGTTAGCATTTAATATTTTAGTATTAACTATTAAAGTATTAAATAGTTTATAATTATAAAGTTTAAAAAATTTAAACAAATTTTTAAAAAATCAAATAAAAAATACATGAACACCGAGGAGCCCTAGGCGCTAGGCTCCCCCGAATGCTCGAGGAGTGCCTAGCGATTTTTTCAATCATGTATATAAGTATATAATTTTATTTTTTTTATTTTTTTATTTTTTACAATTGTGCTCCCAATTGAAAAAAAAAATTATATATATAACTCATATATAATATATGTATATATTTTCTTTTTGTTTTTTTATTTTTTTATTTTTTTTTACAATTGTGCCCCCAAATTTGGGTGCGAATTGTAAAAAAATTAAATTATATATATACACATACTATACAGCAGGCAGCACTGCCTGCTGTATAGTATATGTATATATGTTTTGTAATTGGGGCCCCCAAATTTTGGGGGCCCTGTGCAAGCTCCCTGGGCAAACATACCCAGGGACGGCTCTGGAACGAAGTATAACTTAGAAAGGAAGAGTGACCACAACTTGTTATTAAAAGGACGGAATTTGCAACGTCAATTATAGCTTAGGGACGAAAAGTGAATACGGCCAACAATTATGGACGAATTCTTCAATTATCCTATAACTTAGGGACAAAAAGTGTAACTTTCGAGTTCATTTAATATATACATAATAGATTTTTTTTAAAAAAATTAGGAGGGGGCCAAAAGTGTAATTTATTATCCATATTATAATAATATATACCTATATATTTACTAAAAATGGGGGATGGGGTGGGGTGGGGTGGGGGGAGGGGAGGCCAGACCCCCCTATCCCAAGGGGTGGCTCCACCTCTGAATATATTCTTAATATATTGCAACAAATTCATTCCGCGCATCGCACGGGTGAAAATACTAGTATATATAAAGAAATAAAAACTACAACTCAATCCATCAAACAAACTAAAAAAGGTATTCAATTTATAAAATCCATCAAAAAAACTAAAAAAAAGTATTCAATTTATAACATTCATAAAATTATGAAATAACGGAAAAAAAATCGTAATTAAAGAAGTTCATACTAGTTTTTAGAATAAAATTGAACACAAAAAAAATTCAAATTTCAGATTGTTGAACATCAATAACTGAGGTAGAATCTTGGCCTATAATGTGTAGCAAATTCATCATGGGTCATTTTCATGATATCTTTTGTAATCTCATTCTTGACAATGGTTATACCTAAATGACAATGGTTCTTAGCAGGTTATAAACATGTTTGTGTAAACGGGTTCGTGTAAATGGGCTAACATGATAATATTAACTGGTTAAATGAGTTCTTAAGAGATTTAACGGGTTGACCCGTTAAGACACGAAACATAACGGGTCAACTCGTTAACAACACGGGACACGTTAAAGCTAAACACTAACCCATTATTTTCGTGTCGTGTTAACGGGTTGTGTCCATAATTGTCAGATCTACTTACAAGGTAACTTTTTAATAGTTAGGGGACTAAATCGAGTAAAAAATTAAACAAATGACCTTTTTAAGCAAATCGCAATAATTTTTTTTTTTTGAATGCTACTGACTCTATTACATTGTAGTATCTATTCAAACACACTTTCTTAACCTAATGAAGCACACAGAGTCAACAACGCTTCCACTGAGGCTCGATCTCATGACCTCCCACATGGGAGAGGTCACTACATGACATCTGAGCACAAAGTGCTTGACGCAAATCGCAATAGTTGAGGGACCACAACTGATATTAACTCTTATTTATTATATATACTACTCAATATAGTAAATAACTATCAATCGTATAATAATTAATTTTTACTCTAAATTAATCAAAACATTAATTTTACTCCAATTTCGCATCATGTAGAAAATTTAGACGGGAAAAAATTAGTATTATTTTTCATACTCCTAAATATAATTCGATTACCTAAAGATCAAAACCTAATTAGATAGGTGTACACAATTTGTTTTAAATAACCTTTTATTAATTATCGTCGGCTCGTCACGCCTTTACACCTTTGAGAAAATATTTGTTTTCGTCTGTTCATTATTTTTTAATTCTTGTTTCAACGACTACAGAAAAATCGCCGACAACTAAATAAGCTACTGCAGTCTACTCCTATTCCTAGCCGCCGGCAAAAACCCTAACACATATAGTAGAGGTCGACGGTGATTCTTGAGTAAGTATATAGGTCTTTAGAGTTTTTGAATCTTTTCATTATTTATTCATGTGAAATTTTCAATCTTTTGATTATTTTAAAAGGATACCCGGAAAAGTAGCAAATGACTTGACGTTTGTAAAATTGATATGAATTTTTATATAAATCATTATTGATAACCATCATTTCGTTTGTGAGTTGAATATATTATTGATATCAGATATCTCAATCATCATTTTTAAATTTCTCTGCTCAAACGAATTGTTGTGCATGATTTAGCTGCACACTTGGTAATCTACTCCAACTTCACTCTAAATATATAAATATTTTAATGGATTGGATCTGTCAAAACTTTTTGTTCTGTTAAGAGCGTCACTACCTTCTATTCTTGGATTGTCAATGAAGTAACACTTTTGTTCCTTTTGTTAATGGCATGGATTTGTCAAAAAAAAAATAAATTATTTTGATATATAGAAGGTCTGAAAATGTCACTTTATTGACAATCCAACAAGAACTAAAACTTGTGATACTATAACATATGAACTAAATTCACAATTATCTTTTAACTCAGGGAGATAAAGTGCAATTACTCCCTTTTTATAGTTTAGTGGGATTTTACATTTTTTTTTTGTTTAGGTATTTCTAACATTGGCCATGCATCGTTACATTCCGCGTCTAAATCTTTAAAGTTACATAATATTCTTCATGTGCCTGATTTGTCATTACCGTTATTGTCTGTTAATCGGTTTACCATTGACAATAACGTGTTTTTTGAATTTCACCGTGATCATTTTCTTGTGAAGGACTGTCAAACCAAGACGGTGTTCCTTAGGGGTCTTACCACGGGAGGTTTATATAGATTGTCATTGTCTCGGTCACCTGTTGCATTAATAACCGCTCGTGCCACGTCAGATGTTTGGCACCGTAGGCTTGGACATCCACATGAGCGGGCGCAAATTCGTGTCTTACAAAAGTGTCCGGTCACTCCCACAAAGTCAAGTGTGTCGCGGTTGTGTACTTCGTGTCAACTCGGGAAATCATCTCGATTCCCGTTAGATAGGGTTATTTCCCGTAGTAATAATGTACTTGACATAATATACACTGATATTTGGGGACCGGCACCCGTTGTTTCGGCTGGGGGTTTTCGTTATTTTGTTTTATTTGTAGATGATCACTCTCGATTTTGCTGGTTATACCCTATGCGGTTAAAATCAGACATTTATAAAATTTTTGAGTCTTTGCGTGTCATGGTAGAACGCTAATTCTCGCGTTCTATCAAGTCTATTCAGTCTGACCTGGGGGGCGAATACCTCCGGTTACATACAAGTTTTCAATCTCTCGGTATCGTGCATAGGCAGTCTTGCGCCTATACACATGAGCAGAACGGACGAGTAGAGCGTCGGAACAGACATATTGTCGAAATCGCGCTACCTACCTTATAAATTGTCAACCCTTGTCTGCACTAAAACACGTCAGTCCCTAGGAGTCCATCTATAACAAAACACCTCCATACACCTTTTTCCTTGTCCTTGGGTGCAGGTGTTATCCCTATCTCCGGCCCTATAATCGCCACAAGATAGAATATCGCTCTGCACCCTGTATCTTCCTAGGATATCCCACGTCCTATAGAGGTTATCGATGATGGACCTAATATCAGGAAAGACCTTCATCTGTCGCCATGTTCGGTTTGATGAAAATGTTTTTCCCTATGCAACAGGTACACAGGACACTGGTACCCCACATGAGCCGTGTGATCCAACGTCGTGGGCATCTAGTCCCTTGGTACCTTGTGGGCAGTCCACAACACCCTTGAATGAGCCACCTCTGGCCGTGTGTGTTCCGCCCTTGGCCATACAAGAGCAGCCAGGGGCTGCTACAGTACCGTGTCGTGGACCACGGGCTCTGAAACGAACTCGGGCACAACCTCATGAACGAGGTCATGTTATGCGTTTTCGTCATCAAACCCGTGGAACGGATGAGCCCTTTCAGGTTCTTACGGACTCTGCAGATCCCACGTGCTATAGCCAAGCAGTTGGACATCCAGAGTGGCGTGATGCCATGGATCAAGAGTTCAATGCCCTCTTACATAATAATACTTGGTGTCTCACTCCGGCCAAGCCTGGTATGAATATTGTCGGTTGTAAGTGGGTCTACCTTACTAAATGGAAAGCAGACGGCATGATTGAACGTCATAAAGCCTGCTTGGTTGCCAAAGGGTTTAATCAAGTTGCCGACGAGGACTTTTTTGAGACGTTTAGCCCAGTTGTTAAGCCAACAACGGTCCGCATCTTGCTTGACATGGCTGTATCCCGTGGGTGGACTCTTCATCAACTTGATGTTCACAACGCGTTCTTGAACGGTCATCTTACATAGACTGTCTATATGCGTCAGCCACCGGGTTATGAAGACCCGATTCAGCCTGATTATGTTTGTCATCTACAACGGTCCTTGTATGGCCTCAAGTAGGCCCCACGAGCCTGGTTTAATCGGCTCCATGATTATCTTCTGACATCGGGATTTGTGGCCTCCAAAACTGATGTGTCTTTATTTTATTACACATTAAATGACTAACGTATCTATCTTCTTGTATACGTAGACGACATTATCATGATGGGTAATGACTCTAGTCTTCTTGATGAGCTTTTGTGTCGCCTCTCCTCCACTTTCAAAATCCGGGATTTAGGAAGCCCTACGTTCTTCCTCAGTATTGAGACTATCCCACTAGATGGCGGCATATTACTGTCTCAACGCCGTTACATGGATGATATTCTCACTCGTGCTGGTATGTCGGACTGCAATTCTCTATCCACTCCAGCAGCAGTGACGAAGTCTGCGACACCGCTACAGACCCCTATGAGAACCCTACTCAATATCGTCGGTTGGCTGGGGCACTGCAGTATCTCACTATCACTCACCCGGATCTCTCTTATGCAGTCAACAGACTCTGCCAGTTCATGCGCACTCCTACTGATGAACACTGGGCCATGTTGAAGCGTGTTCTTCGTTACGTGAAGGGTACTCTCACACACGGCTTACGGTTGTCTGCGTCGTCTTCCTCTGATGTCCATGCTTATTCAGACTCTGACTGGGCTGGCTGCCCTATGGACAGGAAGTCAACCAGCGGCTATGCAGTTTTTCTTGGATCTAATCTTGTTTCTTGGGTTTCTCGCAAGCAGCGGACTGTGGCTAGGTCATCCACTGAGGCAGAGTACAAGGGCCTTGCTGACGTGGCTGCTGAAGTTACCTGGGTTATGTCGCTTCTTCGGGAACTTGGGCTAAACTCGGGTAACCCGGCTACGTTATGGTGCGATAATCTTGGGGCCACTTACATGTGTGCCAACCCCGTGTTTCATGCCAGGACTAAGCATGTCGAGATTGACTACCATTTCGTTCGTGATAAGGTTTCTACAGGAGAGTTCTTAGTCAACTTCGTCTCTACGAAGGATCAACTTGCTGACATCTTCACCAAGCCGCTGGCTTCTGCTCGTTTCAGCTCTTTGAGGGAAAATCTCAATGTTGTGTCTTCACCATCTTCAGCTTGAGGGGGTATGTTAGTAGTGTTACATTATTAGTATAATTATATGTAACGTTATTCTTGTACATGTAGAGTTGATTTAGTCTTGTAACCTACAGCTATTATGTGGGGTTAGTTAGATAGGCTTCTATCTTTTTTGTATCTCTGTGTAACAGTCTGAGTTTGAATTAACGTAAAACATTCACTCATCATATATACTCTTATTAAAAACAAAATCCTCATTCCTTGCATTTCCGCCCAAAGAATAGAAAAGGAAAAAAGTTAGTAATTAATAATACTAATAATGATCAGTAAAAAAGTTAGCAGTAAAATAGGAAAAACAAAGATCCTTAATTCACGAAAAAAGGAAAAGGAAATAAAATTCACTGATTAATTAATACTAATAATAATCAGTAAAAACGTTAGCAGTAAAATAAGAAAATAAAAAAGAATCCGTAATTCACTAAAATAGAAAAGGAAACGGAACTGACTGATAAATTAATACTAATAATAATCAGAAGTAAAATAAGAAAATAAAAAAGGATCCTCAATTCATTGAAAATGGAAAAGAAAAGGCAAGATTGTGCCAAAAAATAAAAAGAAAAAAGGGAGTCATAATAAAAATACCAGTAAACAAGGAAAATCCTATCAAAAATTACTAATTAATAATAATAAGGATCTCGAATTAATTAAATAATAATAATAATAATAATAATAATAATAATAATAATAATAATAATAATAATAATAATAATAATAATAATAACAATAATGTATACTATTAATAAAAATAAAATCATCATATGTAGTTTACCGTTTCAAGTAGTATCCTGATTTCTTAAATATTAAAATGGATGATTAAGAAAATGAAGGTGATAGTATTCAAAAAAAAAAAAAAGAAGAGGTGAATATGGTTTTGATTATAGATGAAAATAATATGTGATTGTGTTGAGGCATGAAAGAAAATTATTATTTTTAATTAGGTAATTTTTATTTTAGCATATCTTACTACTTACTATAAAGTCTATATACTGTAACATGTTTTTCTATTTTATGTAAAAGTCATATAATGTAATTGATGTTTTATTATTAAGATGTATATATTTATAAATTTTATATAGTCTATCTATACTCTTAATAAAAACAAAATGATCCTTCCTTGCATTCCCGCCCAAAGAATAGAAAAGGAAAAAAGTTACTCCGTTCTAATTAATAATACTAATATTAATCAGTAAAAAAGTTAGCAGTAAAATAGGAAAAAAAAATCCTTAATTCACGGAAAATGGAAAAAGAAATTAAAAAAAAGATCATTATTGTTCTAAACGTTGCTTCAAGTGGAATAGCATCTTTGCTATTTTCGGGTGGCAGGACGACGCATTCTCGATTTGCTAAACCACTTTCAGTGAATGAAGATTCGACCTGATATATCTCTCAAGGCAGTGACCTTTCCGAACTTATAACCAGGAGCAAATTTATAATATGGGATGAAGTACGGATGACACACAAATATTGTTTTGAGGGTCTAGACAAAATCATGAGGGATATATTGAGATTCACCATACCTGGTAGTGATCAGAAAATATTTTGTGGAAATATAGTAGTATTGGGTGGTGATTTTAGACAGATTCTTCCAGTTATTCCAAAAGCAACGAGACCAATGGTTGTGGGAGCTACTATTAATTCTTCATACCTCTGGAGGAATTGCAAGGCATTGAGGCTCACGAAGAACCTGAGACTACATAACTTAGCTTCAAACAAAGATAGACAGACAGTTGATTGGTTCTCAAGATGAATTGCAGATATCGGAGATAGGATTACAGGGTTTGTAAACAATGGTTTGTTTGAGATCGATATTTTACCAAGGTTTATTTTGAAGTGTGGACCTGATCCAATTGCAACTATAGTTGAAAGCATCTTCCCAGCTGCGAAGTATAGAATGCTAGAAGAGTCGCACCTAGAAGGATGAGCGATCCTCTCACCGACTTTAGATGTTGATCAAATTAATCAGTATATGTGTGACATGAACACTGTAGAAGGTCGGACGTATTTAAGCTGTGACTCTTTGTGTAAGGCAGAATCAGATGGTGATTATCTCTCACAAGTACACACTCCTGAATTTTTGAATAGCTTGAGATTGTTTGGACTTCCTAATCATTCATTGACAATAAAGGTTGGTGCACATGTTATGTTACTGCGGAACACAGACCACTCTCTTGGTATTTGCAACGATACGCGCCTCATCGTTACAAGATTGGCGGATCATATTGTCGAAGCAAGAATAGTTAATGGAACGCAGCAACGAAAAAAAGTTCTTATACCACGAATGTCTCTCACCCCTTCTGATACGAGATTGTCGTTCAAGTTACAACGTAAACAATTCCCGGTGATGCTAGCATATGCAATGACTATCAACAAAAGCCAGGGTCAAACTGTTGGGTAATATGGTTGTAAAATCCCAAAATAATAATAATCCTACGGAAAGATTAATATTATATGGGAAAACAGAAAGACAGGGAAGGAAAAGGTTGAGTGTTTGGGTAAAGGATTTAGCACGAGTTCGAACACAAAGTTCTTTTCCATAAAACCTTATTTGCTACCTCCCACAAGTGCTAGGAGCATTGTAGCCTAGGTTTCCCAGGATAAAACGTGCTACGATTCCTTGTTTAAGCACCTAAACAAGGAACCCGGCAAACAAAGCAAAGCTTAGAACACTGGTTGGCTAAAAGAAGAGAGTAGAGGCAGAGTTTTGAGATGAAAAGCTACTGGAATTCCTTTTGTTTCTCACCGTGTAAAATGCTACTGCTCTACCTCTCTTTATATAGGGCTGTTGGAAGGGATAGCATTCAACATGGCTTTTAATTGGTATTAAACCAATTGTATAACACCTGTAACGGTCACCCACTAAGTAGGATTAAACTCAGATTTAAAATTGGAATTAAAACAGTATTTAATTCCGTAACAGATGAGTTTAATCTGTACAACAGGCTGAACTTTCGGGTTTCAGACTGTTGGGGTGCAGGTTCAAACGAGAGCACACGGACCAGCAACACGAGAGTACATCTCTCGTGTGCACTGTGGTGCAACCCGAGAGTGCACCACTCTCGTGGTCACGAGAATGCACGAGAGTTGTGCTCTCGGTGCACCACAGCCTCTCTTGCTCCTCTGTAGCACGAGGAGTTGTGCTCTCGGTGCACCACAGCCTCTCTTGCTCCTCTGTAGCACGAGAGTTGTGCTCTCGGTGCACCACAACCTCTCTTGCTCCTCTGTAGCACGAGAGTAGGTGTTCTCAATTCGGTTCCGGCCGAACCAAGTGACTATATCAGTTGGAAAATGATACAACATTCGTGCCCGCAGGTGCCGGCGCACGCGAGCTCGGTTGATTTCAAGCCTTTTTCATGTCCTCTAGTTGGATTTTAATTTGCACCCCCCCCCCCCCCCCCCCCCCGCGCGCGAGAGAGCCTCTATGCTATACAATTCTACAAGCTTGAAAAGAGCTCATGTATATAAAGGGGGGCAAATCTTGTTTCCAAACCAATGTGGGACAAAGACCTACATTTTCCCTTCATTTCCCAACTTAAATGAGTCTACTTTGAGAATCAATATCTCATTCACCCATTATCCGTTTTGAGCGTACAATATATCAATCTCTTCGTCTTACTACGAAGAATCCAAATCCACTTTGACCCGACCCAAATCGGAAGTGAACCCCACTGATAATTGTACCACAAAATAGCCACTTAATATGCCATTTTATGCCATTTTAAGCTAATTTTTCCAACACAAACACTAACTCACGTTCACTTATTGTTGAAAAAACCAGTCTTTAATCACGGTGAATTGTACGTGGTTTTTTCCCGAGTCACTCATCCTGATGGCCTTGAGGTTTTAGCTCTATACGGGGATGGAAAAACTTCTGTTACTACTACTAATGTCGTCTACATAGAGGTTTTTAACAATGTGTAATTCAAAATAGTTATATTATGTATTCTTCTTGCACCAATATAACAAAATTTTTACTATCCACATATTACGTATATATTTCGTTACAAAAATTTCTATAGCTAAATTACTACACATAAAGATAATGAGACCAATTAATTCAATTCCGAAACATTCATACAAACCTTAATTCAACGTTAAAATTTACACTATCGAATATGAAGCAAATTATAATTCATATATTATAACGCACGGACGCAAATACTAGTATTAATAAAAGTAAAATCCTCCTCTTCCATATTCCCGCCCAAATTAATATCTATGTCTAATGAATTGTTACGACAGATTAAAGTCAAAATGGTTATCAAATTCTGAGAATAATTAAACCATTATAATTTTGAGAATAATGGAAACAAATTCTATGTAATAAATGGGAAAATCCATTTGAAATTCTATGTAATTTTATAGGGAAATAATAATTTATACTGTTAATAAAAGTAAATCTTAAATTAAAATGCCTTTCACCCTTTTGATACGAGATTTTCCTTCAAGTTCTAACGAAAACAATTCACGTTGATGCTCGCATATGCCATGACTATCAACAAAAGTCAGGGTCAAACACTAATTCACGTTGAGTTATTACTAAAAAAAAAAACAATCTTTAATCACAGTTAATTGTATGTGACTTTTTTCTCGAATCACCCATCCTGATGGTTTGATGGTTTTAATTCTAGACGAGGATGGATAAAATTCTATTACTACAACCAATGTCCTCTACAAAGAGATTTTCAATCATGTGTAATTCAAGCCAGTGATATTATGTTTTTTTTTTTTTTTATATACAAAGATGACAAAATTGCTATATTGCTATATATCTACATAAAAAATATATCTTCCGTATAAATAATATCTATAATTGAGTTGCTAGACAACGAGCTAATTAGCCCAATTAATACAAATCCTAAATACTGATATATACAATATCTAAAGTTGTAGCACCGAATGCGTATATCTACACGTTAGCTATTAATTGGGCAATTATTTGCTCGAATTCAAGCAATATAACATCAGAAAACATAATCGGTACAA